GAGAACGGCTGTCAAGAACGTTTGGACACTTTACTATGGCACGTTAACTTTTCAAAATTTGGAAGTACCATAACTTCATTTTTTTAAATGGCACCCACCATATTTTATTACTTAGTCGTCTTCGGTGTCTCATTCTACATCTTTTATATCCTTTTATATATTATTTTCCATATTGAAAAATGCACACGTATCATAAGGATATACATAGGGTGTTCCATTTAAAAAAATAAAGTAGGTGGCGACTTCTGGTATAACCGGAAGTGCTAGAAGTCTGAAAATATTTTAGACGAAGAGAACGTAATTGATAATAACGTAATCGTTGAGACACTCTGTATAATTGTTAGGGCTCGTAGTCTGTAAATGTTGTTAGATTTCAAAAATTAATCGATTTAGTTTTATGTTTTTAACAATTGTCTAATATAAATTAAATATTTTTACTCTAGCAAAATGTGTTTTTAACTGTTTTATTAAAAAATAACGTAATACTTATTAAAATTTCGTGTTTTAAAATCATGCGCGTCCGCTCGAAGGTTAAATATTTTTTTTACCTTCCTAAAGGTGAATCTGGAAAATCATCTAACCCTTCGTGGACTGATGAACTAGGACTAGAAGTGGGGTCCAAAGGTAAACCATTTCTCATCGCATCAACCTTCTTCTTAACTCGCCCCCTTCGTTTTTCAAATTTACTCGTTTCCATCGACGCCGCTCTTCTCCTCACCGATTTGCCGGGTTTTGCATCTGGGTTGATCATCCACCAAGATGATTTCCCGGTACCTTCGTTTTGAACCCTCATGAATCTATTGTGAAGCGATAAATTGTGTCGGATGGAATTCTAAAATAAAATGTAAACTTAATTAATTCATGAACCTTATCAAAAAGGTTAAATCTAATTGTTTAAATAATTAATACGGATCGATAGAAAGAAAAATTCCGCGTTTAAAGTTTTTTTTGATATTGATAACGTTTTTAAAACGCAAAAAAAGAAGGGCGTTGGGGTCAATTGGGATCAATTAGAAGAGGTTAAGTGGGTGTGGGCTTAGGATGGGTGCGAATCAACATGCAATCGGGAGTACGTTGCACCTTCTTTCTCCCCTTTTTTTCCATATACACCCTTGTTATTAGAAAAGTCGGATTCAATTAAAAGTTTGTTGGCCTTATTTTAAATTATCCTAATTTTTATTGTGATTATAATTTTTTTTTATTAATGAGAGACAAGTCGGGACGGAAGGATGTGGTTTTATATTGTTTATTATTGGTAAAGTCTGCGATTCAAAGTCGAACAGGAGTCTTTTGCGGTTTTTCGGTAGATAAGTTAAAAATTATAAAAGGAAGGAAGAGGTTAGATCTAATTTCGAGGCTATAAACATAGATAATGCAAATTTTATCAACTAATTTTGATTTATTTTAATAAAAAAAATAAGTTTAATCTTTAAAAAATGACTTATCATTTTTATTAAATATATATTATAATAAAATGGGGGTTTGATTTAAATGCGATTAAGGCTTGCAATCAATGAATATTTTATTTTATAAAGTTCCATTACTTTTAGATTCATCTATAATTTTAATCCCATTTGCTTAAGGATTAATTTTTAATACAAAAAATATCTCTTAGAACACGTTTTAAAATCGATTCCAAATTCCCTTTTTCTATTTTCTGTCGAGTGGCGGATAACTTTTTCGTTAGTTTCCTGGGGGCAAAGTGGCNAAAAATGGAAAGATGGCGTATTATTTTTTTTTTTTAAGTAGGCTGTTTTTGAGATAAATTAGTAGTGTTTAGCCTCATTTTAATGGATTTTTCATTTTTTATAAGATGATTTTAATAAAAATAAAAAAATTTATATAACATTTTTTTGTATAATTTCAAAATGGCTGATCATAAATTCTTAATCTCGGCCAAAACTCTTAATTAATTACTAAATTATTGTACTTCGAACGATATTTTACCTAAAAAATTAAAAAAATATAAAAATGGACGATTAATTTCAATTTTAAATCCATTTTTACGTTTACTAAATTTAGAAATTTTTCAAAAACATCGAAAACGATAAGATTTTCGTAATAATCAGAAAATTTTAACCCAATTTCATATATCACACTTTATATCTAGCATCAAATTCACTTTTAAAAGATTAAATGTCACAATTAATTAGTGTTTTGTTTTGCGGCCATCTTGGATTTTATTAAAAATATAAATATCAAAATGTTTCTACGTCTTTAATGCAATTTTCTGCGTGAAAATCACTTTATATATACAAAATTTAATGTTTATTTGTTACAAAGTCAAATTTCCGGTTATGCAATTTGAAAAATGAATCATAAATTCTTAATCTTTATTAAAAATGCTTTAAAACGAGCCCAAACACGACGGGTTTATTTTAAAAATTGAAAAAAATATGGACGATTATTTTCAAAATGGCGTATTATTTTTTTTTTTAAGCAGGCTGTTTTTGAGATAAATTAGTAGTGTTTAGCCTCATTTTAATGGATTTTTCATTCTTTATAAGATATTTTAATAAAAATTTATATAAAATTTTTTTGTATAATTTCAAAATGGCTGATCATAAATTCTTAATCTCGGCCAAAACTCTTAATTAATTACTAAATTATATATAAAATAGTACTTTGAACGATATTTTACCTAAAAAATTAAAAAAATATAAAAATGGACGATTAATTTCAAT